TCCCCCCCCCCCCCAAGGTGGTAGGACTAGAGAAGGGTCAGCAGAGCCCAGCGCATCATTTCTCCCTCAGGAAATTATGTGTTTTTTCCATTATATTTTCAACCATTTGGGGCCTTTTTACCAGGACTCTTTGCTCTCATGCTTAATTGAAGCTGCTTTCTTACCTGGAGGAAGGTGGCCCAGGGTCTCTTCAGGGGTGGATCCTAGCTCCACCTGCTTCTCCTTGAGAAGTGGGAAAGTCTTACCTGCTGTGCACCAGCTGAATAACACCTGGAAATGCCCAGTGGTCCTGGCACCTCGCACAGCCCCTGGACATTAAGTACACCTGAATGTTACTGCTGATTTTGACGAGTGTTTGCGCTTTAATCTGGGAGATGCTTATTAAAAATCAAAGTCTTTTTTCCTTTTCGAGGCCCACCCAATCTCTGCCAGCAGTGACTTGCTATGAATGAAAATCTAATTAAAGCCAGGGGTGCAGGTCACTATGCGTTTCCATTCCTGGGCCTCCGACAGGCGTTAGGATTTAGGGGAGCCGACGGGTGGTGGGAGGTGGAATGCACTGGCCTTCAGCTGATGCCAGTCTGTGGAGGCAGGATCCTTGTCATTCCGGCATGTGGAGAGGCTCCTTGCCAGAGCAGATGCACCGACAGTCGCCAGGATGAATTTTATGAGCTGTCTCTCTTATTCGTGGGCCACCTGTGAGGAGTGGTCACTGCATTTCCTAGGCTCCCCTTCTGGATGCCTTTCACTGACTTATTCTTTCCATGTGACCACTGTGGTCTGAGGCTCGTGACAAAGGTGGGCGCCACTCACTTACTGTTTCTCCAGCAGAAACCACACCACACCGCAGCTTCACAGCTTCACGGAGAGTAAGGGCTGCTGCAATAGGAGGGAGGAGGGAGGAGGGGCCTAGCCTGGTGGTGACCTTAGTTGGCTCCAGGCCTCAGGTTACTTATCTGCACAGGGGAAGAAGAATCTCTCCCAGAAGGTCTTCAGGAGCACTAGGTGAGACAGCCTGGCCTGAGGAACGCAGCAGGTGGGGGGGGGGGG